TAAAGAACAGCTTAGATTACTTGTGTAAATAGTGGTTTTTTTCTCCCACTTTTTAAAATTGGACCCATTATATGACATATTTTAATATAATTTGATTTCTGAAGTATCTTTTATTTTTAGGCAAAGAAGTCAATGTTGAAATGGTAAGTTATAATACTTATATACAAAAACTTGGTATTTTCTTAATAGTTATTACTATTTTCTGTGTACCTCAAACCCTTTGAGTAACTGATTTCAGTAGTGATAATTGTAATCATTTTACATTTTGAATTTTGTTAAGATGTTTTTTCAAGAATAAAAATGGCTTCTATAGTACAAATATAATATCTAGAATAAATATGTTTTGCTTTAGCTCTGTGCTTGGATCAGTTTCATGTATATGGACCTATTCTGAATTTAGGCTTCTGATCCAAATTTTATTCATTCAATAGTTTATCATTTGAAATGGATAAGGCAGACATTTATCTTTGTATTATGAAATGTTGCTAAATTGATTAATATGCAAATGAAATATTTTAACAGCACAAACATTAAAAGCACTGTTTACATAAAAGCCATGTGTTAATTAATACCATCTACTTTTCATAGGAAATCTCAGAGAACAAGATCGTGTTTTTAGAAACTAATTTAACAGGGTTAAGGATGACTTTTATAGCCTTAAATCAGCATTGGATAGAGTATTTTTTTTTTGTAGTTTTTTTGTTTGGCATAATAGTATCATGGTACTCTTGAGACGCAGTATTGTTACACTCACCTGAATACTCCTAAAAGTGAACCTGAGCCAGCCAATCTGAATTTAAACCAACAGGTCCATTTCGCACTATCCTTTTCTCATCAGCTGTACTAAAATTTGGAATCTTTCAGAGTTGACCAGACAAAAAATCTGTCAGCTTGAGCTTAAGGGCTCCCCCTACCTACCCCCTCTCTTGTTTTGCCCCCTCCCCTAGACTCTCAAACTAATGCATTGATGATCTTCCACTGTTTGTAAACATGTGATGTGTGACATTTGATTTTCTTTTTATTGCTTTTTAAAACCTGGAAAAATTAAAACCAGGTAGTACTAGAATAATTTGACAATCCCTTTTGATTTTAATAGGTAATAATTTGACAAAACCTGATACTGTGTATTTATCAATAAATTCTACTTCTTTAAAATTCACTTATTTACTACTTAAAATAGTTTTCTTTGGATTAACATGCATGAGTAATCTATTTCTATGTTTATGGTTGTCTTATTCCATTAAGAATTGAATCATAACCATTTTTTCATTACTGTTAGCCAGTATTTAAAATTGGAATCAGAAATTAAGTTGATACAGTGCAATAAAAGCTATTTAACTTCTAGTGAAAAGAGGATATAATTTTTATTTTGGGGTGTAAAACAAGGTGATATGTAGCATATGAACTTTTTAAAAGGTACTTATAAACACTATTTTGTGTAATTTAGTATTTTCACTAGAGATTGGACATAATCTAACATAAGCCATACCTCAATATCTGTTTCCTTTGTAAGCACTGTTCACAATTTAAGTTGAGGTGAGGCAGAATTCATTCCATGGATTTAAGATAAACTTCCAATATAACCTTCCTAAATGTTTCCCATGTATCACTCTGTATACATTGTACACATTGATGCAAACTTTTATTTGAATCTTTGAAAGCTAGAGAATGAATGGGAAGAATTTTACTCCATCTGAAGAAATACTGCATACTAGAAGGTGAAAGAAGAACACATTACTTAGACTTATTAATTAACTCCCTCAGAATTTACCAGATGGATAACCACACTGGGGTTTTAGGAATTACTGGGGTTTTTGAAGTTTTACAGAACAAAGAAGCTGAGCTTTGGTAGTCTTGACATAGCATTTTATTAAAACCTATTGTTTTGGGTTGAGTTTGTTCTTGGTTCTTGTCCCTACCAAAACAAAGAATTGCAAGGCAGAAACACAATAGTGGAGCAGAGTGTAATTTTTATTTGAATACACTCCAAGGGAGGAGGGACCAGAATCAAGGTAGACAAAGGCCTCGATCCTTTAGGCAGGAGGTGTTTATATTACATTATGGCTAGGAGGCACTTCTTTGATTGACAAGGTGGGGTCATTTGATTGACAAGTCCACCTATATAGCCATCTTTCTCAGTGTGCATGTCCTTTCCCACGACAAGGTGTGGTTTGGGCAGTTCTTAGTTTTGTTCAGTTTGCCCATGTTGGGATCTGGTTGGAAACAGTTTGGCCTGGTCCCAATAGGCAAGGAAATTCTCTCCCTACAAAGCATTTGTTGTCTTCATGTGGGAGCCCCTACCTGGGCTGTTTGGGTGGGTTTTTTTTCTTGAACGTCATCTTCCCCTTCCCCGGCTGCTCATGTCTGTCTTTCTACCTAACAATATGATTGTAATTACGTGTTTATAACTAGTTTTGGAGGAAATACATCGGTTTTTGAGATGGACGTACACGATACATGCAGTAAGATTACTTACTCAATTATAAAAGAGATTTAGAGAATTTATTAATCTCTTACCATCCTAAAATTTTTCAAGGTACAGCTGTAACTCATTACTTGATTGTTAGATGGACTTCAGTGACAGCTCAAGTCCTTTGTAATGTAAAAACATATGCCAATATCTCATGATTCTGACTGTACTTACATGTCCTAGACAAAGAATCAAGAGTTTCATATAGAAGTTTGACTAAGTTTAGCTTACTCTAGAAATATGACTAAAATTATACAATACAGATTTTTAAAATTAGTTTTTTGTTAATAGAAACATCCATCCTGTATTTTCTTTAAAACCTGATTCTTGAAAGGCATGAAACTGTCATTCCTGCTATCTTTAATAAATTGACAAGTCATTTTGTCTCTTGGTTTCCATTTTGTCTTATTTTTCCCTGATTTTGCAAGCAGTTTAGAATATGAGTTTTCTAAGGGAGCTTCTGTTTGTTTCTTTCTACTACTAGTTTTTCTTTTATACTTACCTCAACTATTTCTTTTAATGCAAATTGGTTAGCCCACTTTTCCTTGTGAATATAAGAAGGCAAAATAAATATGTAATTATTTGAATATATATGTATATCCATTCATAGTAAAAAATTAAACAATTTAATATAATCTTCTATGGGAAAGGAATTTAAAAGTCCTTTAAAGTGTGCATTGATTCCTTTTTTATTTGGTACACCATAGCAGGTACATAATTCCAAATAACAAACTCTCTTCTTGATAATTAAATGTGATAAAAAAAGATAGCTTCGATAAATGGTTATGTAAGGTAATTAAATTTACAAAGACTGATGGCTTTATGAAGTCCATACAAACAAATCATTAATTTCAGTGTCATATGATTTGTATTATTGACTATATTCTTTGATTTATAAATCAGAAAATCCCATGGTATGTTTCTAAGGTAATGTCATCATTTTACCACATAAAAGGCAGAGTTAAGTTTTACAGATTTCACAATAACCATGTTTTGCTTTATTTATTTGATATAAAAATTTTCTTATGTTTATTTCAAAAACTTAAGCAACAGCTGATAGAATTTTCATTGATCAAAATTTGTTTCCAGAAGGACCAGAAATACTGTTGTAACCAAATGACCTGGTTGAAGACACTTTACTGACAAGCTATAGAGTGTCTTATATGAATTTAAAATCATCTATACCTGAGCTAACAAGGAAAAAGAACTGTTGGGGAGAACATCTGAATACTTTATATAGTTTAAATAAGTGAAATGTGTATGTTTTATATTATTTTCCTCAGGTGTATATCTCAAAATAGAGACATAGTCTCAAGACTCTTTAAATGTATATGTTAGTGAACCTCTCTTTCTAACGTAATTTGACAAATGTCGTTCTTTAGGAGAAGAAAGCTACTGAGATGCTTTGGACTCCTTTGATATTCTCCTTAACTCTCCAAGTTCTATATAATGAAGTAAATGTAATGGACAAATCAAAATATTTCTCAGTGTTCTTATCACCAATACATTAATATTTTCATAAACATTCATTTTTAATTGTCCTATAATATCAGTTATAATTTATAAAATTAAGAAATTAGTTATTCAGGTTTATTATATTACTAGAATGTAGTAATTCTTTTTTTTTATTACTCAGGACATTTTAAGTTGATGCTTGTATATTATGTATTAAATACAAACAAACAACCCAAAACTATTTAGTTACATTTAAGGTACTCACAAATTTGGGTTCAAACAAACAACCCAAAACTATTTAGTTACATTTAAGGTGCTCACAAATTTGGGTTACTTTAACATGCTTTAGGTGAGCAAATTGCTGAGAATTTATTATAAAAATATTGAATTTCCTCATGGTGTCCTTGGATTAAATACATATGGCTAACAGATGAGCTGGAGTACTTGTCAAAATAAATTATAAGCTTAAGCTTCATTTGTAGTTTAAATATAGTGAGTCTGATACAGTGTTGCTTCATAATTTCGATGCTCTTTGCAGTAAATTTGAGATAGAGCGGTTGCTAAAAAAGCCCTGTTCATATGTATGACCATTTTTATGGAAAACATCTGGGGTAATTATAATTAGTTCAGGATATGTACTGTTTAAAAATAATCCTGAATTCATGGAGAAAGAAGCATATCTTTTTCTCAATGACTAGAATAATCCAAGTGAGTATAAAAAAAGTCTAAGTTATTGGTAACTGTGCTTAGAGTATAATTTTAGAGTATTCCAAAAGGAAATAAGGAGTAACTTTTATGAAAAATGCCAAATTGGCACTTTACACCTGTTGGTGTGTTTCGTGTAGAACAGCTGTGTCTTTTATTATCAGTAAACAGATGCAGAAAGTAATGGAATGTTTTAAAGCAATATGTTAATCCTGTCTTCCACTACTGAACTGTCTCACAATATAGTGATTAAATATTGACTGTGCAGCTGTTACTTACAATTATAGAATTTCTTAGTTAATTGCTCCTTCCCAGGCCCAAATGTTTTAATATTTAGAGATCTAATTTCTAATCTTAAAGTGTTTCATAATGTAGTTTGTTCATTATAATTTAATTTCTAAAGATAAGTTTTGTGACTGTAAAGAGACAAATTCATATGTTTATAAAATTCTCATTAATTGTTTCTGTGAATTGGCTAACCTACATAGATAAATAATTGTTGAAAGTCATGAATGTGAAGATTATTAAATATAACCCTCTTGTTTGATTTTATGCTTGAAAACAGCTGTCAATGAGCTAAAAAGGAAATTACGGTACTTTCATCAAATACTTATGGAGCAGAGTGCCATAAATGTCTCTTAGAATAGTGACCATATTAAGGTAAACCACCAAACAGCATGCAACTTATTTCAATGCTAGTAGCCTTTTTGCAGTTTAATTATGTTTTAATCCTCTCATCTTGTCAGAAAGGATATTTTAGATAGCACTTCAGTAATAATCACTTTTATACTTGAGCAATTATATTAGCTAAGATTATTATTAATAGCTTACATAAATTGTGCTTTTAATATCTGAAAGGTATTGTGCAAAGAACTTCATATGTATTATAATATTCTTGCCTCTTTTTTGTAGATGAGGAAATTCAATCATAGATACAAGGAGTAAATTGTCCAGGGTCTTAACAGCTGGTAAGTAGTGGAGACTGGATTTTAAACCCAGGCATTTTCACCCTTCAGCCTCTTATTCTTAACAACTTTGCATCTATTTTTCCTGCCTTTACTATCTAATATCAACATTATGCAGAGGAGAAATTATGTGCAAAGTAAATTTTGCCAGTGTCTTTTTATTTGAAGCCACTATGTGTACTCCAAAGTGATAGTTATATGATCATAAAGTTGTTTTACCTAAAAAGAAAAGACAGTTAAAACATGCAAGGACATGGAGAACTCCAGTTCTTGATATCTCACCACATGATGACTGTCAGTGGTCTTCAACATCATCAGAAGTGTCCCACAGCACAGGTACTGTGACATAGTCCACACTAGAGAAGATTTTCAGATACCACCTTTTGATTGTACTCTGATTGTGCTACTTTGTGGAGACAACAACTACCATCTGTTACCTTTTCCAAAAGAAATTTTCTTTGGGTCAAGAGATTTTAAAGAGCAATATGATTTAGTCTCTACCTATGCTCTATTACTTTATGTCTTAACCTGGAACTATCAGTTATTATTGAAACTTATTAAATAACTGTTCTCTGTCAGATATTATTACTACTTCTATTCTGTTATTTTGTCATTTGTCATAGAAAGTATCCCATTTTATGCATGAGGAAACTGAGACTCAGAGATATTAAATTGATCTAGATCACAGCTGGAAGACTATGTTTGTATGCATTTGATTTTTTTTCTTAAAAAAAAAGAACACTAGAAGTCTAAAAGTGTCTAGCTAATTATTTTTGTAAAGAGTTTTAAGATTTCCATCTCTAACAGATGCTAACTTCAATGTAATTTCCCTTGACGCTGATGAAAATGCTTATAAGATTAACTAAGATCAACAATGTCATGAGGTATTGCTGGAAAAAATTTAATATAATGTGTAAGTCCTTCACAAGGTGGTTCTTAGGCAAAATGTTCTTGAATGCAGGCTGCCTAAAATTTCAGAAGAATATGCACATCTTTTTGCATGCAGTAATATGAAATGTCAATTTTCATGAGTTTTAAATGAATATTTTATATATTTGTTAATTTAATTCACTAGACCGGTAGTGATTCAGCATTACTTTGTTCAAATAATTTTTTATTAGTGTTTCCATCAAAACTGATTACCCAACACAGAAAAGAAAGAAGAAAAACAATAAAATTATCATTTTGTATAGTTCAGAAATATCCCATGCAGAATTATTTGGTAGTCTGTTTTTTTCCTTTACATTTTTTGAAGACTTTTAAATTTTAATTTTGAGATAATTGTAGATTTACATGCAATTTTAAGAAGTAATAATAATACTGAGAGACCCTGTGTACTCTTTGCCCAGTTCTCCTCGGTAACATATTGCAAAACTGTATAATATCCCCGCTAGAACACTGATGTTAAAACAGTCAAGATACAGAATATTCCCATTACCACAAGGCTGCCTTGTGTTAACCTTACACAACCACATCTACTTCCTCTCTGCTGCCTTCCTGTAACCTTCACAACTAATCTGTTCCCCATTTCCATAGTTTTAGCATTTCAAGAATGTTACATAAATGGAATCATACAGCATATAACCGTTTGGGATTTTTTTCGATCAGCATAATTCTCTGGAGAGTCATCCAGGTTTTTGTATGTTCAGTAGTTTGTTCTAAAGTTTCATGTTTTACATTTTAAGCTTATGCCCTTGATTGATTTTGAGTTCATTTTTGTATAAGGTGTGAAACTTAGGTCCAGGGTCTTTATCTGGGGGTGGGGGTGGGAGGTTGGGGGCAGGTGAGGAGGAACAAGGAGCAGAGTGAATAATGGATGCTGAATTGGTCCAGCACCATTTGTTGAAACAGCTACCTTTACCTCATTGAATTACTTTTGCATCTTAATAAAAAACTCAGTTGGGTACATTTGTATAGGTGTGAAAAGTTTTTTGGTTCTCTCTTGTGTTCCTTTGATCTGTTTTTCCCTCTACCAATATAAAGTCTTGATTTCTATAGCTGTATAAATGTCTTGAAATGGAGCATTTTGCTCCTTCCAAAATTGTTTTAGCCTTTCGAGCTTCTTTAGCCTTCATATAAATTTTAGAAAAATATTGCCTGTATCTACAAAAATTCTTGCTGGTATTTTAATAGGAATTGAATCAAGTTTGTATATCAACATGGGAAGTATTGAACTCTTTGCTACATTGAGTATTCCAATCCATGAATGCAATGTATTTTTTCTATTTAGTACTTTTATTTTTTTCACCAGTTTCATTAGTTTCAGCATCCAACTACTGGGTCTTGTTAAATGTATACCTAAATAACTCATTTTTCTTGAATGGTTATAAAGGGTAGTGTATTTTACCAAACGTAGACACTTTGGTGTCAATATGATCATTGCTAGTATGTAGATGTAGTTATTTTTTGTATGTTTATCTTGTATTTTGCAACCTTAATGAACTCACTAGTTCTAGGAGTTTTTGATTATTTATTGGGATTTTCTGTGTAGGCAATTATGTCATCTGCAAAAAGGGACAGTTTTCCTTCCTTTCAGTCTCTATGCATTTCTTTTTTCTACCTTTTTACCCTGGCTATAACTTCCAGCACTGTGGTATATATGAATGGTTTTGAGAGGAAATCCCTCCCTTTTTCCCCTATCTTAGGGAGAAAGCATTTAGTTTTACCATTAGTTGTAATGTTGACTGTAGATTTTTGCAGATATTTGTAGCTCTCAGGGGAAAGCATGTTTCCAGCCTGCGGCGAATAAAACAGTGAAACTGAAGTCAGCCGAGGGAAAAACTAAAGTGGGAGAAACCCGTTTGTTGCTTACAAAAAACCTGGCTGTGTTCATCTCTCTCCTGCAGCTACTCCCACTCTCCCGTTTCTCATCCTGGCTAGTGCTTGCCTCCCTCCACCTTGTAAACACCAATTGATACAGAAATGCACTAAGGAAAGAACAGCTTCTCTCCACCCCTTGTAAACACCCCTATTCTCTCCATACCTCTATTGATATGGAGATGGGATGAGGCCAGGCGAGAGATTCTGGAAATATTGCAGTTTTACCCACATATTCTATCAAGTTGAAGAAGTTGCCTCTATTTCTATTTTTCTGTTTTGTTTTGTTTTTAATTATGAACTGGGTGTTGAATTTTATAAAGTGCTTTATGTGTATCAATTGATGTGATCATGTGATTTTTCTTTATCTTAATGTTGGAGGAATACATTGATTTTCAAATACTGAAAATTTGCATCCCTGGAATAAATTCCCTTGGCAATAGTGAAAAAATCTTTTTATATATTGCTGAATTCTACAGGCTAATTGTAAGGCTGGAGGTACCAGGGGAAGGGGTGAGCCTACTGGACAAGCTCAGACCTCACAAACAAGGCGAAGAGACCAACAGTTTCCGGTCTGACAACATTCCAGGGTCTGATGCAACAACATTCCAGGAGTTCCTAACTAGAGCCCTCCCCCAAGCTAGAAGAGTAATGGTAACTTTCCAGTACCCGTCTAAAGGCCAATGAGAGACCCCCACTTGCCGTAGGGGAGCCAATCCTCACACCACTGTATACCTTTGCTCTGCCTCCCACTACCTCCTTTAAAAACTTGCTGCCTGCACTGCTGGGCGCAGCTTCCCCAGCCTCCATTTCTGTAGACTGATGAACCTCGCCCGGGACTGTGCTCAAATAAACTACTTGGCCCTTTGTTGCCTCTCTTTGCCTGCTTATTTCAGTCAGAATTTATCTTACACTAATCTTCCGTTAAGAATTTTTGCATCTATATTCTTGAAGGATATTGATGGGTTCCTTTTTTCTGTTTTTGGTTATTAGTTTTTTTATTTTAAATAGCTATGAACTTCATAAAATAAATTGCAAGGTGCTTCATCCTCTTCTGTTTTTTGAAAGAGATTGTGCAGTATTTATGTCAGTTCTTTTTTAAACGTTTGATAGAATTCTATGCCTTGAGATTTATTTCATTGGGAGGTTTTAGATAAATTCAATTTTTTAACTGTCATTGGGTCATTCAACTCAAAGTGATTGTGGATATGTTGGACACTGAAAGTTGTCTGTTTCATATTGGGTGAGTTATGGTAGTTTGCATTTATGAGATGTTGCACTACTTTATACATGTTGTCAAATTTATTTACACAGGGTTCTTTGTAATATTGAGACAGGGACTGTGGATTTAGTCAGGCAGAGTAGGGTGAGGGCCTCCGGAAAAAGCAAGGTAAGATATTTGCAGTCAGAGCAATGTAACTATGTGCAAGGAAACCCCCCACCCCTACTAAAACTCTATGTTGAACATTAAGCTCTAGAGTCATTCTTCAGTGAGATCAATTAATGTTCCCCAGATAAAGAGGAGTAGCACATGTTTTATTATGCTAATCATTTGTAATCATGTATAAGATTCACTTTAGCACACTAAAAGGCCCAGGCCTATGTGCTGTCTTTCCTCCTTCAGATCTGACGAGGTTATTTTGCAAACTGAGCAACTAATGTAGCATGCAGACCCAGCTGTAGACGGCATGGTAAAAGGCAGGAATTAAAGATAAGATTGCATTTTAACACACAGGAAGTTTGAGAGGCAGGATTCTTTAGCAAATGGACAATACCTCAGCTCACCTTGGGGGCCGAGCAGGAAGCCTTTTGATGTGCTCCCAGACCAAGATGCCGGTATCCCAGTGAGAAATCAAGGCAGGAAATTCCTTATCTTAAGTTAATTTTTAATATTCAGGGACAACTTAGCAAGTCCACACCCCTAAGCTTTTTTTCACGTTCCCAAATATCCTCAACTGCCTATAAAACCCTTAGACAAGGCACTACCCCGGGCTCTCTTGTCCCCTCCAGGCGTGAGCTGGGAGATCTGTCCTTTCACTTTATGTCTAAATAAAAGCCTGTACATTGCTCCCCTACCTTGACTGTTTGTAAAGCTCATTCTTCGGCTTCGTGAGCAAGAACCCCGGTGTAAGTCCAGGGAAAGGAAATCTTGGGGCAAAATACCCCGAAAAACCAAAATCAGTCAAAGGAAGAAATAAAGTCCAAAACCCGTTTATTGCTCACAAAATGCAATTTCCGGTCGTGTTTCTTCTCTTGCTCAAGCAGCAGCAACCCCAGCCCTCCCAGCCCTCCCCATCACCTCTCAGGTACAGATAAGCCCTCCTTGCCCAGGTGATCACCTATTGATATGGAGATGAACTTCTCCACCCCTGAGGAAAGATGCAAATGCACTAAAGCCATACTTCTTTCCACCTCTTAACGCCTATTGATATGCAGATATACTAAAGCCAGGCAAGATATTCTGGAAATGTTTCAATTTTACCCACATCCGGAATCAATATTGCCTTGTCCTTTTCACAACTTTAGGGTATATAATGATATCACTGTTTCATTCCTGATATTGGTAATTTGTGTCTTCTCTATTTTTACTTGTGATTTTTGTGAGAGGTTAGTTAATTTTATTGGTCCTTTTTTGAAGAGCCAACTGATTATTTCTTTAATTTTTCTCTATTTTTCTGCTTTCAATATTATTGATTTCTGGTCCTATCTTAATTATATTATTCCTTCTACTTGCTTTGGATTTATTTTTATCTTTTTCTAGGATCTTGAAGTGAGAACATATATTATTGATAAAGAGACTTTTCTTCTTTTTATATGACTACACTTAGTGGTATAAATTTCCCTTACCACCACTTTAGCTGTGTCATGCATATTTTGATATGTTTTATTCTCATTTTCATTCTATTCAATGTATTTTTTAAATTTCTCTTGAGACTTTGTCTTTTACCTATGGATTATTTAGAAGTGTGTTTTGTAGTTTCCAAGTATTTGAAGATTTTCCTGTTATCTTTCTGGTACTGATTACTAGTTTAATTCCTTGGTGGTCAAAGTATACACTCTATAATATTTCAGTTCTTTAAATTTGATGAGATTTGTTTTACAGTCCAAGATCTTGGCATATGTTCTGTGGGCATATTTGAATAGAATGTATATTCTGCTCTTAGGGGTGGAGTAGTCTATAAATGTTTATTAGATCCTGTTTGTTGGTTGTATTGTTTAGAGCTTATGTCTTTCCTGATTTTCTGTCTAGCTCTATCAGTTGTTGAGAGGGGTGCTGAAGTCTCCAACTGTAATTGTGGATTGTCTTCCTTCTTGGAGTTCTTATCAGTTTTTACCTCACAAATACTGTAGCTCTGTTGTTTGGTGCACTCACATTTCAGACTGCTATGTTGTCTAAATGGATTGACCTTTTTATCATCATACAGTGCCATTCTCTGTATCTGGTAACTTCCTGAAATTTACTTTATCTGCTCTTAATGTAGCCACACCTGCTTTATATTGATTTGTGTTTGCTTGATAAATCTTTTTCTATCCTTTTATATTCAACCTGACTACATTATTATATTTGAAGTTGAATTTCTTGTAGATAGCATATACTTGGACCATGTTTTTTAATCCACTCTGCCAATCCCTGTCTTAATTGGTGTAGTAAGACCATTTACATTTAATGTTAGTAGACCACTTACAATTAATGTTATTATGGATATGTTGGACTTGAGTCTACCTTTTTTTTTTTTCCTGTTCCTCATGTTTTTCATTTGTTTTATTTTATTTTTTCCTGCTTTCCTGTGTGTCACTGGAACATTTTCCAGAGTTACATTTTGGTTTATCTTTAGTGTTTTTGAGTGCCTCTTTGTATAGTTTTTTAAGTTTCCTCTAAGTGGTAATACACACATACATACACATACACACATGCCTCTTACTGTTGTTTATTGGTGTTGTCATTTTATCAGTTAAAGTGAATGTTCTTTTACCTCTTTATATACATTTGGTGGCATAGTACACAATATTGTAATTTTTGCTTTAGCCATCAAGTAGAGTTTAGAACACTCAAGATGAGAAGTAAAGTATATTAACAATGTCTCTTACTTATGGTATTCTTCTGTCCTTACTGATATTCCTAAATTTCTTCTTTTATCATTCCCTTTCTGTTTAGAGAATTTCCTATAGCTCTTTTTATACAGTGGATATGCTGATAACAAATTCTCTTAGTTTTCCTTCATCTAAGAATGTCTTGATTTACCTGTCACTCCTGAAAGATATTTTCAGTGGATATTGGATTCTCAGTTTACAGTTCCTTATTCCTCTTGAAAAGTGTTGTCCCATGTCCTTCTAGTCTCCATGTTTTCTGATGAAAAATCCACTCTCATCCAAACTGTTTCTTTCTTGTTGCTTTCAAAATTTTTTCTTTGTCATTCATTTTCAGAAGTTTGACTATGAAGAATCTTGTATAGATTTCTTTGGTTTTACATTTATGTGACTTACCCAGCTGCTTGACTCTATAAGTTTATAACTTTTGCCAGATTTGAGAAGTTTTTAGCATTTATTTCTTTGTGTACTTTTTCAGCCCCACCCTCCTTCTCCCATTATTTCAGGACTCTGATGACATTAGTGTTAGACCTTTTTATCATAGTTCCACAGGTCTGTGAAGATTTGTTCATTTTTTAAGCCTATTTTTCTGTTGTTCATATTGATAAATTTCTATTGTTTTATCTTCTAGTATACTGATTTTTTTTCTTCTGATTCCATCACTCAGCTCTTGAGCCTATCCATTTAATTTTTTGTTTAGGTTATATAGTTTTCATTTCTAAAATTTCCATTTGTTCTTTATATCTTTTATTTCTTTGCTGAGATTTTCTAATTTTCGCTTGTTTAAACTACGTCATTAATGGCTCCTTGAGCCATTGATGACAACTTTAAAATTTTTGTCATCTCTATTTTACCATCAAAATAATTTTGCCATCTCTATTATCTGGGCATTGACATCCGTTGATTTTTTTTTTCATTCAGTTTGAGATTTTCCTAGTTCTTGGTATGATGAGTAACTTGCAGTTGAAACCTGGACATTATTTTGTCCAGAATTACAGTATGAGACTATGAATATTACATAAACCTATTGTTTAAGCTGGCTTCCTCTGACACTTGTAAAACAGAAGGGGCATATTGCTTCATTATTGCCCAGGGAGAATAGAAGTTCTAGGTTTCCCAATTGTCCTCCATTGATTTCCAGTGCTGATGTAGGGGTGAGAAGACCTTCTCATCACTATAGGAAAGGTCTGGAAGTTCCAGCTCCCCACAAGGCCTCCACAGAAATCCCAGGGTGAAGCCCATTATTAACCAGTAGGGATGGAAGTCCTGGATCCCTATTGGTCTTCTCTAATACCACCTCTGCATAATTAAGGGGTACCTTGTTATATAGCCTGGTCAGAGTGAAAATCTAGGGTCCTCACTTTGGCTTTGTGGTAGAGGTGTGGCCCCAGATTTTTGTGGTGGTTGGCTGGAATAGGTCAGATATTACATAAAGATCAGCCCTACAATCTCAATGAATGGATGGTTGCCTTCAGATGAGAACCCAGCCCTTGCAAGCACCTTTGATTATAGCATTGCAGTGGACCTTCTTAAGCAATGTCTAAACTCCTAATCCTCAGAAACAATGAGATAATAAATGAGTATTATTTTAAGCTGCTAAG